TATATATATAAATATATATATATATATATATATATATATATATATATATATATATATATATATATATATATATATATATATATATATATCTTTCAGGATTGTTATGACATTATATATAATGTACTTAATGTGCTTTTAAACAGTCCTTGGCAAGTAGGTGAAAGCAATTATCAATATTTACTGTATTCTTACCCTGTGGGCTCTGGAGTCAGATTGCCTGGGTTCAGATGTTGGCTCTTTTGCTTACTAGATTGTGACCTGGGGCAAAATCATTTAACCTTTTTGTGCTTCAATTTTCTCATTTCCAAAATGGGGAGAATTAGAGCAACATTGTTAGGATTAAAGAAGATCACATATGTAAAACTTAGATCAGTGCTTGGCTAATTTGAAATGCTCAACATGTTTGCTGACATGATTATTGTTGTTTAAAGGAGCAAGGGATTTGAAAGTGATTAGGAAGTTGGAGGTGAAGATGCAGATAGGAGGAAGAACCCGCACCATTTTTGTTGGATGATAGAAGAAAAATAGTTCTATATTAAGTTATCTGTATCATCCACCCACAACTTTAAGTGAAATCTTATGATAAGGACAGAATTATATTTATATTCAAGATCACATTACAAAATTGCAAACATGCCATTTTTGCATCAACATAGGGGCTTATAGGTCATCTAGTAGGGAGCCCGAGTTTTGCCTAAGATCACAACAGATTGTTAGTGGAAGCACTAAAGATGGGGGACATTATGTAAACCCTAATGCACTGCTTTTTTCTACTGCACCATGATGCCTCCATATTAGTCACATTGGAACTTATTCTTTATGGTACCTGAGTAAGTTTGAGACCAAGTAATCTTAGGACCAAATGGTTGAAAAAGCAGCATTATAGTAGTTAATCGTTTATAGTTTCTATTATTTTTAAAAGGATATCATGCCTTTCTTCACTTTGTATTAAGAGAAAGAATGAAATTATGTGAAGAAAATAGTTACCTGAGAGCTATAATCTCAATTTTTTAATATTAGTAGGCCACTTTTGTTGTCTTTATATCAAGAGCAGTTCTGGTTAAGGCCACAGAAAGCTACTTATAGGTCCTTTCTGTCATGCCTTATGATGGACACCTAGCAGGCAGGTAAGAGAGCACCTAAGCTACTAGCACTGCCAATAGTATCCACATGTTTGTGATCCGTTGAGTGTGAAGTAGCACATCAGAAGTAGCAACTGAGAGACACTGCTCTTAGGAATGGAACCAAACCCTGCCTGTGCTCTAGCACCATCGGTGATGTTTTTATTCCTAAAACGGGCCTGCAACAAGATTATATCCATAGCTCCTGCTGCATTATTATCTCTCATATTCCAATGCCAAACTTTTGAAATATCATTTTATCTTGTGAGTCAATTTGGATATAATTACAATCCTGTTGACCAATTAACATAGCAGTAATTATTAATACACATCAAAGGTATACTTTTAAAGCTCTAATTACCTATGCATATTAGTGGCTATAATTTTTTAAAGTACGGCATACATGCTAACAGGGGCACAATTATTAATGTACTATTTAATGAATTGTCACAAAGTGAACACATACATGTAATCACCACTTAGAAGAAACAGAATCTTGCCATATTAGCACTCCAGAAGCCCCCATGAGCCTTCCTGTCTCCTCAGCCATAGCAAAAGTAATCATTATACTGACCCTCTCAACATCAATTAGTATGTGCTGGGTTTTGAACCTTATGTAAGTAGTATTACATAGTATGAACACTTTTGTGACTGGCTTCTTTCACTCAACATTATGTTTATGAGATTCATCAATGTTGTTGAGTATAACCCTAATTCACTTATTCTCAGTGCTATGAAGTATCCCATTGTATGACTATAGTACTTTATTTATCCATTCTGTTGTTGATAGACATTTAAATTGTATTTGGTTCCGGGGGTATTAATAATAGTGCTGCTATGAACATTTTTGTACATATCTTTTGGTGCATGTATACATTTCTATGGGTATTCACCTAGGAGTAGAACTGCTAGATTACAGGCTATGCCTGTGTTCGGCTTTAGCAGATTTTGTAAAACATTTTTCCAAAGAAGTTCTTTTAATTTACACTCCCATCAGCAGTGTATGAAAGTTCTAGTTCCTCCATATCTTTGCCAGTGTTTGATATTGTCAGTCTTTTTCACTTTAAAACATTCTCATGAGTGTATAAGTAGTACTTCACCTTAGCTTTAATTTGCATTTCTCTGATGACTAATGAAGTTAAACACTTTAATTTGATTATTGGCCATATGGATAGCCTTTTTTATGAAGTGTCTTTGAGTGTTTTGCTCATTTTTGAATTGGCTTATCTGTTTTTTCTTATTGAGTTCTTATGTATTGTGTAATGATTCTTTTGTCAGATATGTATATATCTGCATACCACACACACACACATATAATGTCAAATATCTTTTCCCATTCTATGTCTTGCCTTTTCATTCTTAATGTTGTTTAAAGAAGTTTATAATTTTGATATAGTCCAATTTATGAATAGCTTTCTTTGTGGTTAGTGGTTTTATGTCCTATTTAAGAAATATTTGCCTACTCCAAGGTCATAAAGATATTCTATTTTATCTTCTAGAAATTTCATTGCTTTTTATTTCACATTTAGATCTTCAGTCCATTTAGAATTGATGTATGTATATGGTGTGACTCACATTATATATTTTTAAAAGTACAGAAGAAAAACTTTACTTTTTAATTTTATTATACTTTATTTCTTTAGAACAGTTTTGGTTTACAAAAAAAAAATTGATTAGAAAGTGCAGAGCTCCCAAACATCCTCTCCCCTCAATAGATTTCCCTATTATTTACATCTTGTATTGGTGTGGAACATTTATTACAACTGATGAGCCGATATTTATACATTATTAACTAAAGTTCATAATTTAAATTAGGCTTCACTATTTAGGCTGTATAGTTCTAGGGGTCCTAACAAATGTATAATGACATGATCTTGCTTTTAAAATCCTTTCTCATCTTTTCAGTGAAATAGCAAAAGCTGTGATCAATTTTTAATACGTACTTATTACTATCAGAGCTCAAAAGTAGCAGTAAAATAAGCAGATATAATGTTAAATATTGAATCATTAAATGAAGAACTTTTGACAAAATAGTTAAAATATTTGGTAAGAAAAATAAAATGTATTGACTTAGGGTAAAAACTGATAAGTATTTTAGCTCATGGATTTATATCTCTGACAGTAAGGAATCTGTCTTTGTCATAGAAGTCAGGCATTTGGCTGTTGTGTGCATGACAAAATACCACTGGCACTGCTCTCACAGTACCTGCCAAAGAACAACCAGTAGAATAAAAGTCACATAAAATCTGTGGGAAGCTATTTGTTATATTATTGCTAAAATCACAGTGAAAAAACGCAACAGGCGTTAATCCACCAAAGCAACATGGAGATTACTGTGCCATATCAAACACCAGTCCATCTGTGCGAATGTTTTTCTCTTCTTAGCAGAGGCTGTCGACAAAAGCTATATTCAAACCCCTTTTAACCCAAATTCATAGAATCCCATAATTATTTTAGATTGTCAGCCAGATTCTCTATGAGCCAAAACTATTCTTAGTTCTTGAACTAAATGGCAATTCACTACTTTTTTATTTTTTTGGTGTTTGTCTAAATCTTATCACACATTTAAATATGTCTTTAAGAATTTCTGCATTCTGTTCCCAGTCTATTTATCTAATCACATCTCTCACTCCTTGCTAATGCCAGTACTTAGCAGCCGTTGTTTTTTGATTTTTTTTTTCCTTCCTCAATAACTAACTTCATGGGAACTAATAGTAGTTCTCTAGAGCAGTGATTAGCAGTAGAGCTAGTAGGAGTCATATTGGACTATGGTGAAAGATCTCCATGAACTCATGGTGATTCTGATACAAAGTGAAATGTATGCCTGACATAACCCATACTGTGACCTGACCAGACTGTATATCATTCAATTAGCATTTCTTGAAATTTCCCTTCTCTGTGTCATTCTTTATGCTGTACATGTGATCTGTTAAAATTATATGTGGTCTTCAAGGCCTCACTCAAAGTCTAGTCCTCCATGATGCATTCCCTGTCTCTTGCAGTAAGAAATAATTTTTGCCACCTCCAAACACCTTACATTAACTCTCATCATAGGCTGCTCTGCATAGTTGTTTAGGAACTTGTCTTCCCTCTCTTACCAAGCTGTAAGCTCCCTCAGGAAAGAATCTGAAAATCACATTTATCCCTGTGTATCATACATTAGCTTCCCTAATTTCTTGCACATCTAGGTGTTCAGTAAATATCTGCTGGGTAAATTTTACCTCATATTATGCATGGATCCCTTTCAAAATTAGCTGAGCTGTCTATAAGCAAGTAAAGGTAAAAATATCTGGTAATTATAGCAGGGTACAAGTTATATAATGTCATTTATATGGGGAAAAAAACCTTTGACATAAATGAGAGAAATAAATATCAAAATGGGCTTATGGCTGTCTATATCATTGCTCATTTCTTCATTAATTTATAATGTCTAATTTGAAATTTTGGAGATAATCTATAGAAGGACCAAGTAGACAATCAAATTGATGGAAAGATTGAAATAACAACTCAGAGAAAATAATTTTGAAGAATAAGACTAAAATTGAGTAGATTTTCTATAGCAATAATAACTAGAGAAAATAATAACAGCTGACATTTAGAGCACTTACTGTGGGCCATGAATTGGCCTAACACTTCATTTGTTTTTTCACCTTTAACCCTTATAATCCAAAGTGATAGGGTTGTTTGAGATAATACTTTTATTTCCCTCATTTTACAGATGAGAAAACAGGTGAAGAGTGGACAAGTGTATTGCCCTACTTACCTTACTGTTTGCCCATAAGTAGCAAAACATGGATTTAATCTAGTCTGACTCCTAACTCTTAAGCATAATTCTGCATTGACAGTAATTTAGGATGTTCATCCATCCATTGATCCATCCACTCATCCATCCTTCCAGTACACATTAAGGAATACTATATGGTAGACACCATGCTAAATACTAGAAATAAAAAATAAAACATGGTCTTGACCCTCAAGGAAATTACAGTCCATTGGAAGAGACAGACAAGGATTTTCACGAAAACCTGTACTAAAGAATTAACTCTTGAAGAAAGAAAAAGACCTAGGCAAAAAAAAGGAAGAGAAATATATTTAAGTCAGCGGAAATCACATAAGCAAATACCAAAGATTAACAGAGTATGGCATGTTTGAGGTACAGCTGGACTACAGGTTGAGATGATGGTTGAGAAAGTTAGACAGAGGCTAGATTATGAGGTCCTCTAACTTATATTCAAGTTAGTAGTATTTATTGACCAGATCAGTAATAGTTGATTGCTCAGTAGTATTTTATTGCTGCCTCCTGAGGGCAGGGAGTTGGATATAGAAAGGTTTGAAAGAATGCTAAATGAAAATAGTCTTAATTTCTAAAAATTTAGTTGTCCTAACTCCTCTAGAAAAATAATATAACAAAATGAAACTTTAAATGAAATCTGGTAAAAATGCTGTATTTCAATAATTTATTATATTTCTAGGAAATTGCTGATACTAATGAAAAATTAACATGTCGTTGTTTTAGCCACAATTTAGTTTGTATAAAATAAAACATTTAGTTACTTGAAAAACGTGATAGTTTTGTAATTTGCTTTTAGATCTAGAAGATGGCCAAAAACAAGCTATGGTTAGTGAACGGACAGAAGCCTTTACCACTGCTCGGAATTTATTGGCCTCTGGAGCTGATGCTATTGAAAGGATCATGTCTTCATACAAAGAGGTACTTGCATTTTTTGTTGTCAATTCAATTAAAATAAGATATATGAAAATCAAGCAAAGTGTAAATTACTCAATGTACTTAGTATTTTGGAACCATACCTTTTCTCTGTCAAAAATTGCAAAGTTTAATCAAGATTAAGGGCAACTCCCAAGTCTAATGCTGCTAATACCTTTTACTTTTTGCACTATCAAGTGTTTCTCCTCTCTTTCCATCTATAGTATGACATATTTGTTTTTAAATCTAGAAAAATTCCCTTAGATGTGGACTCTGGAGCCAGAGTGCCTAGATTTACATTCTTGCTCCAATACTTGCAGATTATGTGATCTTGGTCTAGTTCCTTAACTCATTTGTGTTTCTGTTTCCTCATCTGTAAGATGAGAATAATGCTGACTTTGTAGGGTTATTGCAAGTCAATACATGAAGAATACTAGAAACAGTACATATTAAGCACTCTATAAATGTTAGCTAATAATATTACTTGTACATCTTGTAAACTTTTATTCATCCTCCATTATGAAACCTCACCAACAACATATTAAACCTTCTCTCAATTCCACCTTCTTCCTGCCTTTCCTGTAGAGATAGGTCTTCCTTTTCTGTGCTCATCTCTGTGTCATCTGGTGCTTTACCACATTATAAGTGTCACCTCCTACATCAGACCCTGAACTCCTTGAAAACAGGGACTATCTTTCTCATCTTTACATTCGTAATATTCATTTCAATACGTGGAATATTGTATGTGATTAATAAACATTTGGTAAGAGAATGGTAATAAGATCTGCAGATAACACAGGATTAAGATTAAAATCACTTTATTCAATTTAAATATTACATAATATTCCCAGGAACAGTAATTTTCACAATTAATTATTCTTGTGGCTTTCATATCAATATTAATTGCTAAAGCATCATTAAAAATTTAGCTGCCTACTAAATCAACCTTTAATAAACTATTTAAAGGAGTTATAAATTTTGTAATTTGCTGTTAGAACTTTTCAGCTTCTAACAACTGATTTATTGAATTGGGTTTTTTTGTTTTCTTTTGTTTTATGAAGTAAAACCAGTTATTCGGAGCCACATACCAAAACAACTCAACTTAAAAAAAAAATTTTTTTTAAATAGTGATTTTGATAATCTGCGGATACAGTCTTTTGATGTAATAAGTTACTTAAAATTAAATGACCAATCAAAATTTTGTTCGTCTCACTTTAAAATACTCTGCTATCAAAGCCACAGAAAGAATACTAATTCGTTTTTCTAGGTTGTCTCCAACTCAGGAAATAACTGCATTTTGCTTTACTTTGCCTGGATTTGCTTTGAATCATAGAATGTTCACTTCCAGAAAGTCTTTCTCTGCTATGACAGCACATAAAAGGCACCATGCTTTCTCTGCCAGCTCCACAAGGATCAGGCTTCCATTTTACAGTTTTAGGGCAAATCCCCTATCCTGTGTCCTAAAGAAATTCATCCACAGGCACATTCTTCATTTTTTTTCAGACACCCTTACCCACTCCATCCTCCATCCCTGTCCACTAATTTATTGCCTCCTGCCTTTCTTGAACTGACCTCTACTTTTGGTTTTGAAATTTTTTTTCTATGCAAATATTTATATTTGCCCAGGTTTCTTTTGAATCCACATTTTGTTAATCCTTAGCTTTTTTATTTTCCCTCTACTTGGGAACTCAAAAGATTCTTCTAGATACCATTTGAGAAATTATCCTTTAAATAACCATAACATTAACATATAGAAATGCCGTACTAGTGTAATTACAGACCTCTCATCAGTAGAGACAAGTGATAGGTTTTTTAACAATAATACCTACTGCAAAACTTAAGCAGTAACAAAAATCGTACACAAATGTCAGCATTGTTTTATTCTGCAATTTATTGCTTAAGAAGCATTTATTAGTGGCATGCCTTGTTTAGTGGTACCAGTTTCCTAGTTTTTGTGCTTCCCTTTTTACTGAGAAATATGATCTTGATAGGTGGTGAGTCACCTTTCACAGTACCTTGATAACGAGGTGTTCTGTTAATAGAAAAACTGCAGGAGATTAACCCAAATTGGACAGCTGGCAGAATGGGAGCAAGGCACCATTCTGTTGAGCCTTGTGGACTAATGCAGAGATTTATCTCATCTTATAATCTTATCTAGAAAAAATAATATATGTAATGTTTTTCTTTGGGCATATAAATCATGTTTGGCTTGAAAAGAAGCTGGATTGTGAGATTCATACTGCAAAGGATTTGAAGCTTTTTACTGAGCTTGTTCTCAATGTTGGTATCCTCTAACGTGGGTATTTTCTCTGGCCAAATATAGGAATTTTGACAGGTTGGCTAAGAAACATTCATTTCATAATAAGGAAAAAAGGTACTTTTCTTCTATTTAAAATCTTCTATTTTAATTAGAGAAGAGATACTAAAGATAAAGGATCATAATTTCACTGAATAACCTTAAGCTTTTCACAGAATTTCTAATTTTCTGGAAATGAAATTCATCATGTAAATAGGGGCCAAATTAGAAATTTTACTGAAAGATCCTTAAGCATCACTAATATTCTGAAATCTATACATTTCATTTTGAACCTTGACTTGAATGAATAATTTTTATGTATTTACAATTGCGATCAAACTTACATTGACATCTTGTTATATTTCTCCCTTGGTGAGCTTTTTTACTGTCATTTGTTTTATCTATCAGATGTATTAGCTATTTCTTATGTATAATAGAATAGGCTCTTTAACATTAAATCAAGGTTACATGATTACATATTTATTTAAAAGTCTGTCTTGGGCATATTGGTTCTATTTTATCTCTTTGTTGATTTTAGATCACTGAATTAGCAGGCTATACTGCCCGAGTATACAATATGTTTTGGGTCTTTGATGAAGTAAGAAGAGGCATTTATAAGCGAACTGCTGTCATTCAAGAGTCTGAAAACCTTAGCAAGAATGGAGCTAATGTAGAATTACCTCTCAGTGACACATTGGCAATCAGAGGTATTAAACTCAAGTGTTTTTATATTTTTCCTTTATTTAAGTGTTTATTTCATCAACAAAACCAAAGTTTTTTAGAAGATAGCTTTTAATAGTTACAAGGCAACAACATTTAGATAACCAACATTACTTCGACAGCTACTCCTAAAATTAGTACTGCAGTTCGAAAGGTGGTGACTAACATTACTATTAGAAAACAATGTTATGCTACTTTTATTTAGGAAAAAATTTCCAGAATTATTTTGTAAACTGAACATATGGTGGAATGAATTGTTTGCTTTTAAAATTCAACTAACAAATAGAATTAGAGCTGATGTCATATCGTTTTTAATTATCCTGTGTTTCTAAACTTAAGTTTGGTTAAAATATTTTTAAAAATTGTATTATTCCAGGTCTTAATTCTCTTTTTGCAGTACTGTGTTTTTTCTTTAAAAAAAGGTAAATTAATTTAGGGAAATAGAGTAGTTGTAAAAAGTATGGCTGGGTTATATCAGATTAAGTTTAGCTTTGCTATTGTAATAATGTTGATATTAGATTATTGTAAAATAATGTTCCTCAGAAAGATTTTCCAAATAGATGTGTCAAAGTATATATATTTACATTAAACTTTGCTTCAAATATGGATATCTATTTTACATTTGTTTCTATGACTTAGTTCTGTGAATTATCTTTATATCTGAATTTATCTTCTATACTGCATTAAACTTTAGGTTATTTAATGGACATAACACGTGATAGCTTTCGTAACTTAAACTATTTCTTAAATACAGGAAAAGTTATTGATGTGGATCATGGAATTATTTGTGAAAATGTTCCCATAATTACACCAGCTGGAGAAGTTGTGGCTTCCAGGCTAAACTTCAAAGTAAGATGATATTCAAGAATCTTCTGATTGTTGCCATCACACTAATACAAAACAACTCAGAATTCATGTACCTTATGTTAAATACTTGGAGGAACATATGGAAAGGAGGGGAAATCAAGAAAGGTATGCACAGTGGCTCAATTACAGAAGCAGTTACTTCTTCAGAAAGCAGAGAGAAAAGAGAAATTTTATATCTACTGCTTTATTGCCAGGTTGAAAATCAAAATTACGGTGCATTGAGAGCCTATCCAAGATAACTTCTGAGAATAGGAAATCTCCTCAGAAATAAGTATCTGCAAATAAATTTTAATATTTTTCCTTATAGGAATTACTAAAAAAAAATACAATATATTTACTTAAATATGAGGGTAGAGGTCATCAGTAAGTTTAATTCTATTAATACGCATTCTCTAACTTTGTTTTCTGTTTTAAATAATCATGCTTACTATTAGGAAAATAATCAGAAGATTCATGAATAGAAATTTAGTTTTTAATTTTGTTGAAAATAATTTGTTATTTAATATCCTATGTCTTGGTTATAAAAACTAAGATGTAAAAATATCTAATAAACCTGAGTCCTTGATTTAAAGTATGATAAAATTCAAACATACATTTTGGAATTCAAGTGCAAAATAATTTACTGATGAGCATTAGTGACTGTAATGAATGCAATTGGGCTTAGTTCAAACAAAGACATGATTGAATTCGATAACAGAATTACAAAGATGACAACATATGTGCTAATAATTTAGTACGAAACTTAGTCAAGGTTTAGTTATTAAAGATGTATTTGCTGGAAGTCAAAAGGAGAGGATGAGAGCATTGAATAGAGGAAAATCCTGTGTTAATAAATTTAAGAGAAACTTGTGTTTTAACTACAATTTGGTTAGGCTTTATTTTTACACTTTTGACCAATGCACAGGGTGGTTTAATGATTAGGATCTGACCAAGAGTACCAGTTAGTTACTCATGGCAATATGGAATATTTAATTAATTATTAATAGTTTAGCAATTTATAATTTGACATTTGTATAGTTTTTTTTGTTATGTTAGGTTTTATGATATCAATTCTTGTTATTCCATTTATTAGATAAATAGAATAAGAGTCTTGAATTCTGCTACCTACTAACAACATTATTGTGGACATATCATGCTCTGTGGAAAAATTCAGAGCTCAGTTTCTCATATATAAAATGAACTAAAAATACTTAATCAAGTGAAAGGATCTTATAAATTTTGAAGTTCTACAGAAATATACATTATTATAGTATGCTTTTTGGACAATTTATTTCTTACTCAGACAAAGAGTTATATTTAAATTCTCAGGTCCCTAAAATACGATAGAAAGTTCTGTTTCTTCTGATTGAAAAATAAGTTTCTAGAGGAAAATATTCTCATACTTTTCTTGGCCTTCAGAATTTAAAAAAAAATCATTTACAGAAGGAAAGTCAATAATTGTGAAAGTTTTTTTTGCCTCACACTCACTGTTTATTAAATATGAGAACTTATACTGAGAAAAACTAGTATGAATGTAGAAAAGTATTTAATTGCCACTCAAAATGTTTTAAATTTCTGAGAATTCCTAATAGAGAATGACCCTATTGAAATATTTTGTAGCTATGCTTTTCATCATGGCATATACCTTTAAAAAATCATTTGGAAAGTGTTTATGTTTCTACAAAATTAAGCTTCCTTAATCAACTCGCTAGTGAAAGAACATAAGCAAATCACAAAGTTGATTTTTTCTGGGCTCTTCCCCGGATTTTCTCAGTATGCTAACAATGTAATGCTCTTTCATCTTAGAGTTTTCAGTATGACGTATTCTGCATCATTGATACTTGGATATTTGTATCCATTCTATACAAAGCTACATCTACAGACATCCTGTAAATTTCTGCCTCTCATAGTTTCATATTATATTGATTTTTTGTATCACTGATTATAAAATATTATTTGTTCTTAGAAGTAAATCAAAATTTTAAATGGTGTTTCTATTCCTTGTTCTTCACAATGCCTTTTAAATGCCATCATAAAGGGCTGGCTGGTTAGCTCAGTTGGTTGGAGTACAGTGTTATAAAACCAAGGTCAAAGGTTTGGATCCCCATACCAGCCAGTCTCCAAAAAACTACATGTATATACCATAATAAGACAACTTCTCCATCCTTTTGAGTGGAAAGAGAATCATGAAATTTAAATCTTAGTTTAAATGAGAAATAAGATAGAAAATAAAGAAAAGTATCCAACAGATAACAAATAACCTTTGTTTTATTGATGAATATTATGTATAGAATATTCTCTCATATATTATAGATAATATTCTATATATCTGTGTGTTTTAATTCATCCCTAGACATGAGACTAAATTACACTGGCTTTCCTCTGTCTTGATTTAGTAAACATATTTTCTCCATCTGTGAATAAAGCAGAATTAGAATCATCTTCTGTCTCTGATTATGGGCTTTTGTGATTTCTGTAGCATTTGAGACTGCTGAAGTACAAAATTAAACAACCCAGCTGGCTCTTTGGATAACTGTGCTTTGCAGCTATTAACTCCAACTGACTTTCAGTTGTACTTGAATTCAGTATAAATTTAATCAAATATTAATGCAAATAAAATAAAATTTACTATATTTTAATTTAAATTTTTATAGTTTGTATTATTTCCCATGCAGTTGTATTTCTCCATATGGGTGTAATATCTGATAACAAGACCTCAATTAAAATTTTGAAAAGCCAGTGCTCATTTCTAGACATTCATTTTCTTTGGAATTGAATTACTTTATGATGCTGTTAGCTTCAGAGAATAGACAAAAGCCAAAGTTGAGGTTCTCAACACTGATATATTTTTATTTGATTTCTTGCCCATTCCTAACTAATCATGTGTTCGAAAGCATTTAAAAAATAAATCAGTTTTAAAATGCTGCCAAAAGAAATCATTTTTAAATGTTGCAGTTTGTAATTTTATTTCTTACTTTAGGTACAAGAAGGAATGCATCTTTTGATAACTGGTCCCAATGGTTGTGGGAAAAGTTCTCTCTTCAGAATTTTAAGTGGGCTCTGGCCTGTGTATGAAGGAGTTCTCTATAAACCACCTCCCCAACATATGTTCTATATTCCACAAAGGTAGGTAATTTTTTTTTTACTATCACAAGAAACAATTTCCTTTGGCTCTCAAATTATTTTGATTCCTCAGGCTCTTCAGTTTATATAAACAGGGTGTACATTGCAAGATGCCCAGTGGGTGACTGAAGCCACAGATACTACTGAACCCTATACACACTGCTTTTTCCTATACATACATACCTATGATAAAATTTAATTTATAAATGAGGCACAGTAAGGGATTAACAACAATAACTAATAACAAAATAGTACAGTTATAACAATATACTATAATAAAAGTTATGTGAATGTGATCGATCTCTCTCTCTCTCTCTCTCAAAATACTGTAATATTTTCAGACCATTTTTGATTGCTGGCAACTGAAACCAAGGAAGGGGAAACTGCAGATAAGGAGGAGACTACTGTATCACCCCAATTTTATTACTGCTTTGATTATAATAGTCTCCGGGACAATACCGCTTTTCATTTTCACATCTGACTAGATGTAGTGAATACTCAAAGACTGCAGATGTTAAGTCTCAAAGAATAGCAGGCTATTCCAAAAAATAATTAGATTGCATTAGATATCATATTATCTCTTCTCACAGAAAAAATAGTACTTAATGTACACATCTTTCCATCAAGCTGCCATACATTCTAAAATTGTTCATTTATATTTAAGAACCACTATAAAAATCTTTATTACGATTATGCTATATGATTAACAGTTTGTAACTACCTTAATTAAAATTGATTTACTGTAAGAATGAGTATAATGTATGCATAGATAAAGAAGTCTTTAGCCATTGTCCCTCATAGCAATTTAGAAACATCTAAACACAAAGTTACACACTTGAGAATTTAGAATATTCATCGTGTATGAGAGAAGGTTAAGTTTGAAGAAGAGACCCTCCTCATGCTCATCTGGCCCTGTAATTTTTCCATGTGTCTTCACCCTGGGTTAAGTAGACATCACATGTTGTACTCCCACTCTCCCACTGTATCAGAGGACTGTTCTGTGGAACCTAATAGAGCAACTAGACTGGAAGTTTAGTACCAGCACAAATATAAAGGTTACATCGAGTATGGTGTATTGCATGTCTCTTTTGCCCCCCTTTCCTTTGTCAGAAAGTGCTTGTCCTATCCTGCCCACTGGTCTAATTTTTAGACCATATGTAGTTAGGCAGATAAGATTTTGCGGATTTTTTTTTTAAAAAGACCTATGGTAGTGGTAGGACGCTACCTGGAGTATAGGAGGATGAAGAACTGCATTGGCTGAAAATGTTGGAGGCGAGCAGTGTCATGGATAACACAAAATAGACAACGTCTTGTGACAGCAGAATTATTATTTCATTCTCTGTATGCTTTAAAGTCCTTTGGGAAACTTTGTGATTCTAAAAGCTAAATAATACTGCCAAAAGTTTGAGTTTCAGACATTAATGTGTTTAGTAAACTGATTTAAATTTTTTATTTAGGTTATAAGGCATAGAATCATGAGGAAAATTTTCTGTTATATAATTCTCTTAATGCAAATAAACGTACAATAAATTATATATTTTTAGCCATTTTAAATTTCATACATAATATAAAAAGTATGGTTCTTGAATATATCTTTTATCTGAGCAAAATAAGACATTTCCGGGACATAAAAAAGTGAATAAAATCCAGTCTTTGTCCACAGAGTAACTTAACTATGTTATTTTGCAACAAACAAATCATTGGGAAACTTCTTCCAAGCTATGAAATTTACTGTTGCCTAAGCAAAAAGATCAACTACAACCCAGTTAAGGAGAAAAATAAGGATGTCTATTTTTTTAAGGCTAAGAATGTGTTTTAATAATTACTTCTAAAAGTCATTTTACCTTGATTATATAACTTTTAGAAACATAAAAATATGTATGTATGTTTGAAAGATTTATAGGAACATTTTCCTTGCAAAAAGCATAGAATTTTATTTAAATACATATGTAAACTAGGAGAGTCTAAATATGGTATTCATTTCTTACATTCTAAAAGCTGCTAACTGATGTTTTAAGTAAACCTGAAAATAATCTTATACATTTTAATGATTTGAAAGAAAGCTGTACTGCACTCTATTTCAAAATATTTGTCATTATATTATATAACGTTTAGTATACTAATTATCCTGATTTGAGCATCACATATTGCACATGGGTATTGATATTCAACTCTGTACCCCACAGATGTGTACAATCAACTGTGTTTCAATGAAAAAATATATGTCAGTAGGTAATCTTAAATATTTTTTACATATTCTTATTAATGAATCTTATAATCTAATATTTGTTGCATTAATTTGTAGCAATAGAATATAAGTTAACTAGTAGTTTTGCAGCATAAAAAAATCAGTATAGAATTGATACTTACATATGAACTTCACAAGTCATAAAACAGAACTTTGTAATAACTTCCCTGTGTTCACTTTTTGTGATTTAAAGACTTCTTGGTAGAGGATGGATCTCTTTATGGATTGAGCAAATGTACATTAATTGTTATTTTCATGGGGAAAAATAGAGTAGGCTTTGTTAAAGTTAATTTCTAATAATGTCACATAGTATACAGAAGAAAAAGTGAACTACTAAGAAAAAAAACTTCTAATTAACCATATTATGCCACTTATTTTTTAATAAAATCTTCACAAAGAATGCTGCTTTGGCTCAGTTTGCAGGCTAGGAAATCTGAATTCTTAGAAAATTGTGAGATCACCCCAGTGTTTTCCCAGTTAATGTCTTCTAATACTTTGGCAATGTTAATCATGAGAACCAGATACAAGAAAATCTGGGCCTTAGTTCAAGAATACAAATAAAGAATTCTGCTAGATAAATTAGTTTCAAAACAGCTTCCTCTCATCCCATCTTTATGAACGATGGCATGTAGTAACTACTGGAGCATTTGACAAGTTTTGGGAAAGAAATATTTCATCTGAATGTAGATTAGCCACTCTAGATCTATGGGATGGTGTTTGGTAAAGTGCTTAGTTTTGCCCAGGTAGTACTTTTAAAAAAATATTTTGGCACTTTTAGGCTGTTTGAGACTGAATTTCCTGAACAATGTGACGAAAACTCATGATGATTGAACATTGCTTCCTGCTTTATTAGCCATCCTGACCCTCAGGAAAAGTCTTCCACTTGGATGCAGATCCTAAATTTCTTTTTTCAATTTTTGGTGCAGTTTCTGTCTTCCCAAGCCCCTCAGGACAGATTTATGATCCCTTGTCTTGCTTTCACAACTGCACTAGTTTATGGCCCATTAGTCGCTTACTAACCCCCTGGTGAGTTTCTGTCTTCAGCCATTAAAGCCCCTATAGCCCACCTTTTTTTTATTTATTTAGTTCACCTGCTAAGAAAATATTATAATATTCCCAAAGTCACCAAAATGAGAAATTGAAATATTTAGTGGGAGTTGGGGGATCAGAGAGAATAAGAGAGAGGAAAGGAAGTCAGGGAGGGAAGAAAGAATAGGTGTTCACTGACAAAAGGTAGCAAAATATTGCATTCCTTTATACTATTATTTTTTAATCCTCCAGAGGATCATTTGTGTACATCACATTATAGCTCTCCTCAGCAACAGTCTCCATTGGGTACCAACCCACCATGTAATTCTGTTCCCAATGCTCCTGAGCTCACTACCATTCCTTGGCAGAAATATCTCAGGACAGAACCATGCTCTTCTTTTTTTTTTTTTTTTTTTTTTTTTTTTTTTTTTTT